GATGAATATGTTAGTCTAAATGAGTCCACTCCTCCCAGTCATAATAATACCCACATTCCTCGAGGCAGCGGCCGAGGAGGGGGAGTTGCAGCCATTTTTAACTCTAGTCTGTTAATCAGCCCTAAACCTAAACTAGATTATAATTCATTTGAAAGCCTCGTTCTTAGTGTTTTACATCCGACCTGGAAAACCTCGCAGCCACTTTTATTTGTTATAGTGTACCGTGCTCCTGGCCCGTATTCTGAATTTGTATCTGAATTCTCAGAGTTTTTATCCAGTTTAGTTCTTAAATCAGATAAAGTTATTATTGTAGGCGATTTTAACATTCATGTCGACGTTGATAATGACTCCCTGGCTACCGCGTTTATCTCATTAATAGACTCCATTGGCTTCAGTCAGGGTGTACATGAACCCACTCACTGTTTTAACCATACCCTCGATCTAGTTCTGACGTATGGAATTGAAATTGATAACCTAAAAGTCTTTCCACAGAATCCCTTGCTATCAGATCATTATCTGATTACTTTTGATTTCTTTTTACTCGATTACACGCCACTCAGCAACAGTTACTATACTAGATGTTTATCAGATAGTGCTGTCACAAAATTTAAGGAAAAGATTACTTCGTCGTTAAATTCAATACCAATACCTTCAGTAACAGAGGTTTCCCGTGCCGACTTTAACCTCTCCCAAATTGATCATTTTGTTGATAGCGCCGTAGGCTCGCTGCGAACAACGCTCGACTCTGTAGCTCCTCTTAAAAAGAAGTTAACAAAGCAAAGAAAGTTTGCTCCTTGGTATAACTCTCAAACCCGTAGGTTAAAACAAATATCGCGAAAATTTGAAAGGAATTGGCGATTAACCAAACTGGAAGAATCTCGTTTAATCTGGACAGACAGTCTCAAAACTTATAAGAGGGGCCTCCGCAATGCCAGAGCAAACTATTACTCAGCATTAATAGAAGAAAACAAGAACAACCCCAGGTTTCTTTTCAGCACTGTAGCCAGGCTGACTGAGAGTCAAAGCTCTATTGAGCCTTGTATTCCTTTAGCCCTTAGCAGTAATGATTTTATGAGCTTTTTTAATGACAAAATTCTAACTATTAGAGGCAAAATTCATGACCTCCTGCCCTCAGATGGTAGGCCTACCTATCTAACCTCAAACACAGCTGTAGAATCTAATATATATTTAGATTGCTTCTCCCCAATTTCTCTTCAAGAATTGACCGCAGTGATTTCTTCATCTAAATCATCAACGTGTCTCTTAGACCCCATCCCAACTAGGCTACTTAAGGAGGTCTTTCCTTTAGTTAACACTCATATATTAGATATGATCAATATATCCCTATTAACAGGCTATGTACCACAGTCTTTTAAGGTAGCTGTAATTAAACCTCTCCTAAAAAAGCCCACCCTGGATCCAGAGGTGTTAGCCAACTATAGACCAATATCTAATCTTCCCTTTATGTCAAAGATCCTTGAGAAAGTAGTCGCAGACCAGCTGTGTGATTTTCTCCAGGATAATAATTTATTTGAGGAATTTCAGTCAGGATTTAGAGTGCATCATAGCACTGAGACAGCTCTAGTTAAAATTACAAATGACCTTCTGATTGCTTCAGACAAAGGACTCGTCTCTGTTCTTGTTTTATTAGATCTTAGTGCGGCGTTTGACACAATTGACCATCAAATTCTACTGCAGAGACTGGATCACTTAATTGGCCTAAAAGGTTCAGCACTAAGCTGGTTTAAATCTTATTTATCTGATCGTTTTCAATTTGTTGACGTTCGTAATGAATCATCCTTACGTACCAAAGTTTGTTTTGGAGTTCCGCAAGGTTCTGTGCTCGGACCAATCCTATTTACTCTATATATGCTTCCTTTAGGTAACATCATTAGAAATCACTCTATAAATTTCCATTGTTATGCGGATGATACACAGTTGTATTTATCGATGAAGCCAGAAGAAAGTAATCAATTAACTAAACTCCATAACTGCCTTAAAGACATAAAAAATTGGATGAGCACCAATTTCCTGATGTTAAATTCAGACAAAACTGAAGTTATTGTTCTTGGCCCCAAACAACTCAGAGACTCTTTATCTGATGACATAGTTTCTCTAGATGGCATTGCTCTGGCCTCTAGCACTACCGTAAGAAACCTCGGAGTAATATTTGATCAAGATTTGTCTTTTAATTCTCATTTAAAGCAAACCTCACGGACTGCATTTTTTCATCTGCGTAATATTGCGAAAATTAGGCCTATCCTGACCCGAAAAGATGCAGAAAAATTGGTCCACGCTTTTGTTACCTCAAGGCTGGATTACTGTAACTCTCTATTATCAGGTAGCTCTAGTAAGTCCTTAAAAACTCTCCAGCTAATTCAGAATGCAGCAGCACGTGTACTAACAGGAACTAAGAAACGAGATCATATTTCTCCTGTTTTAGCTTCTCTGCACTGGCTCCCTGTAAAATCCAGAATTGAATTTAAAATCCTACTGTTAACTTATAAAGCTCTAAATGGTCAAGCTCCGTCATATCTTAGAGAGCTCATAGTGCCATATTATCCCACCAGAACACTGCGCTCTGAGAACGCAGGGTTACTCGTGGTCCCTAAAGTCTCCAAAAGTAGATCAGGAGCCAGAGCCTTCAGCTATCAGGCTCCTCTCCTGTGGAATCATCTTCCTGTTACGGTCCGGGAGGCAGACACCGTCTCCACATTTAAGACTAGACTTAAGACTTTCCTCTTTGATAAAGCTTATAGTTAGGGCTGGCTCAGGCTTGCCCTGTACCAGCCCCTAGTTAGGCTGACTTAGGCCTAGTCTGCCGGAGGACCCCCTATAATACACCGGGCTCCCTCTCTCTCCCTCTCTCTCTCTCTCTCTCTCTCTCTCTCTCTCTCTCTCACTCTCATCCTATTACTGCATCTTGCTAACTCGGCCATTCTGGATGTCACTAACTCGGCTTCTTCTCCGGAGCCTTTGTGCTCCACTGTCTCTCAGATTAACTCATATCGCAGCGGTGCCTGGACAGCGTGACGTGTGTGGTTGTGCTGCTGCCGTGGTCCTGCCAGATGCCTCCTGCTGCTGCTGCCATCATTAGTCATTAGTCATACTTCTACTGTTATTATACACATATGACTATTGTCACACATGTATACTGCCAGATATTAATACATACTTTCAACATATTGTACCACAGTAGCCAGAACTATAACTATAATATTATTACTTTCAATAATGTTGTTGTAAGCTACTGTTATTACCTGCATCTCTCTCTCTGTCTCTCTCTCTGTCTCATTGTGTCATGCGGATTACTGTTAATTTATTATGCTGATCTGTTCTGTACGACATCTATTGCACGTCTGTCTGTCCTGGAAGAGGGATCCCTCCTCAGTTGCTCTTCCTGAGGTTTCTACCGTTTTTTTCCCCGTTAAAGGGGTTTTTTTGGGGAGTTTTTCCTTATCCGCTGCGAGGGTCATAAGGACAGGGGGATGTCGTATGCTGTAAAGCCCTGTGAGGCAAATTGTGATTTGTGATATTGGGCTTTATAAATAAAATTGATTGATTGATTGAAAAACACTTATAAGAAATCTTTCATCCCCACTGCAGTAACTATTCTAAACAATATTAAATAGACACATGCACAGTCATATACCATTTTTTCAGTCCCCTTGTGTGTTTTAAATGTGATCCGTGTTTTAAATGTGATGTGTGTTTTAAATGTGAATTTGAGCCTTGTCAAAGGAGAATTTCTGTCACCTTTGGGACAGACAATAAAGCTTATCTCATCTTATCTTAAACCTGTAAAAATTGGGAGCAAAAACAGAAGTGTTGCATTTCAACTTTGTTCAGGGTAGGTTACTGCAAACAGCATCTTTGCTGCAAGTGTTCCTGTTCAAAATTACTCAGAAACCCTCTGTGCAAAACTATAAAACGTTATGTGAACACAAAATTGCCAATTTCTCTGAAAGATAATTGAAACTGAGGAGTGGGGAAACTGCACATAATATAGCTGTTAGCTGCCAAATCATTGCCTCCAGAACTGGTGCTGCACTATATAAATTATAATGTTAATTTAAAAATCCATTGTTATTAATCATAATTGTTGTTCACATGAGTGGGGTACATGAGGCGCATGAACCCCTCCTTGAAAATCTCAGATTGTTGATTGTCTTAAGACACGCTGCACTGTGGTAAGGGCAGGTACAGACCTCCCAGAGGAGCAGGAAGTCTTTACAAATCAGTGGTAGCAGGGCATTTCTGTTGGGCTAGCCGAGCCAGCCCTCAGTGGTATGGGAGAAAGAGGGCAGCGGGTTCAAATTAAGGTCTACAGCAGCAGACATTTATGTTTAAGGCATCAGAATTACTAATGATACAGAACTGGATGTGAATATAAATATAAATATATATGTGGTGTGAATGATTAAATTATTTCAGAGCCTGCTCTCTTTGGTTTGTTATTAATGAACTAACTGTGGACTTCCAGTAAAAACTAGCTCAGTAGCCGCTAGTTATAATCATAAAATATTGAGGGACTACTCAGTAACTACTCAGTATAATGAGTTAAAGAATTAATGACTTGTAACTGGTTTTTGCCACTCAACGACTGGTTCAGACTTATTCACAAACAACTCATACAGAAAGTCGTCAGTATTTAGAGTCACAGATATTCATGAACTAATCATTCCCTAATGACTGATTACTGTAATATCTCCCAGTCAGTCATGATGATCTACTATATAGTCCTCAAATCAAAACTATTCAGATATTATCATTATACTATTCATTAATTATCAGGTTATTCCTGATTCATTCTCCACTTGTTCCTTAGTAACTAGTCACATTTTTTTGTGAGTAGTTACTAAGGAGCTATTTTTAGTAGATAGCTATTAGTAATTTTTTTTTTTTTTTTGCAGATTTAATCTTTACACATACCGTATTAATTTCGAATATTGATTAGTGCAGTTTGACGTTGTTACTTACCTTTAATCTTTTGACCTCAGAACACAGGTGTCCCTCTGGAATCCCTTGTTACAGTGGTGAAGCCGGGACTCCCCACCAGAGCTGACCTGTACGTTCTCCCACTGGACAGCACATCAGCCAAGAGGAGCATGTTTATAGATAAGGTACATGTACATGCATAGAAAAGCATATTCAGTATATTTGTGTTTGCCCTACAAGTTACAGCTTTTGTAGACAGAAGCACATTTTTAATTTACACAAAGAGGCACAATAAGGATTCACTATTTTCTTGATTTTTATAACAGACTCCCATTTTCCAAAACATTTTTCTAGGCCTGCAAACTGTAGTGGGATGAAAAAGATGACAGTTCTGAGAATGAGGCCAAACTTTGCTTTGTTACTGTTACAGCAACAGAAACAGTTTCCTTCTCTGCTGTGACAGTAAACGCAACACAAAACTCCACCTGTGCTGTACTCAGAGCTTAACAGTGTTAAGGTGAGAACACAAACCTTTTATGTTATAAACATCACGGCTACAGCCATGTACCTACACTCCCACAAAGACCCACACACCGTCAGTGTTTCAGCCTTTCAGCAGAGATACAGAGACTCTGTTTGAAATTACATACTAACATGCTATTAATACCAGGTGTTACATAAAATTGAGTATGGCACAACAGAAACAACCAATCAAAGCCGAGGAATCTCTAAATGCAGTTGTCAATCTTGCTGTTTTGATATGAATCAAGACTCTGTAACTGCATTGTCTATTTCTTGCCCCAAATGTCTTCAGAAACATATTTTAGTGTACTTTTTAGCAAAATAATAAAAAAAGTTGGTCCCCAGGTCACTATGTTGAAAACAACTGAACTGCATTACCAAGCAGCCTGACTAACATTCTCATTTTACAGCTAAACAGTCACCAAAATATGTTCTTTAAACATCTGAGGAGAGAAATAGGAAATTAAGTAACAGAATCTTGATTCAAATTTGATCAGCGCTGCTTAGTTTGACAGTTTGTCCACAGTTCACGAGCAGTGACTGACATAATTGCTTTGGATATTCCTCGCCTCTGAGTATTTTCGTTCACGTGCAGTAGGGCCATTGGGGATCAAAGGTCACAAGCATTCAGTATTGGTTGTCGGCATTGCCTCTTATATACAGAGATTTCTCTGGATTCTCTGAATCTTTTGATGATATTATGGATTGTGGATAGTGAAATTTCTAAATTCCTGATAACTGTGCTTTGAGAAATGATCTTAAACTGTTGCCTAAGAAGTTTTTACAAACTGCTGAACGTCACCCCATTCTTGCTTGTTAATGACTGGGCCTTTCAAGGATGCCTCTTTCATACACAATCATGATATTGTCAACTGTTATTAAGGCTGTCACTTTTCATTCAGAACATTTGTTGGAATGTCATATTTTTTTTAACTGTAATGACCTCTTTGAATTAAAGAATTTCAGTCTATAATGACAACAGGCCATTTGAAGTAGTTTACCTTGTGATCCAGCAGAGGTTGTTCTAAACATCGACTATTAGCTTATCCTACTGCATGCCCATTGACCTATCAATAAACAAAGCTACAGGACTTGACATTACGCTTTTCATGTGTTATGTGATCTTACTTGTCCAAAATGCAAAATGTGGTTTCAAGTGTTTGGAGGAACATTTTAAGCCAAAGACAGTTGCTCATTACTCTACTGTGCAGTGTATTTGAGTTATGAGTTATTATTTGGGTTGACAAGTGATGAACATGTGATGAGCCTGTAATTGGTGTACAGGCACAACAGGCATCATGGATGGCTAACAACAACATTTTACACAACTTTCAAAAATATATCACAATCAAGGCTGGATTTCAAGGCCTCTAAAAGGGATATGATTGCATGGAAGCCCTTGTTCAAATGGACGATAAGAGGGTTAATGTTAGCTTCAGGGCAAAAAAAAGGAGGTCCCTCACCTGCACCGTTCTAAAGATATTTAATGTATGTAACTTTGATGTATATGACATTATTGACCCCAAAGTTAACTTCTATAGTGTCCAGTAAGCCAAATGTTTCTCATCAGTCCTGTTCAATGCTTGGTGGTGCGTTCCATACAGCTAGAAAAGTGGCGAATCTGAGGACTCACCTGCTACCTTGCCACCCAATTTAGGCAGCGGAGTCACCACAGATGAGCAAAGCAACATCCAGCTTATACCTCATCCTATTCTTATTATTCTGATATAGCTGTTAAAAACATTTATGTGCAGGACGAATGTGATGTAAAGTATTTATATAGCCCTACCTGTTACTGATTAACCCCATTTACCAGTGGAATGGTACGTCATGTTTGTGACGTATATAATGTCTTATAAACATCAATAATGCATTGTAGCATGACTTTGTGAGCTGTATAAGGTTATTAGCAATTGTATGATACTATAACACACATAAAATTTCCTGGATGATCAACATTGCTTTTGCACTGTGTGGCACATAAAGCAGGCCCATGTCGGCTGACTGAGGCCTCCCTGGCCCTATTTTTGCAGCACCTATGGTGTGTTCAGCTTAATGAACCACTCTTTGCAACACTCTTTGTCTTGTTTCGTGTTGTTTCTGTACCACGCAGTGATGTTGCCTGCCAGGATGCTCTTATTGGTCAGGAGTAGAAATTCCTCAATACTCCTTACTCTGCTTTGCCTTTCTCATCACCAAGTCAGTTGGACAAAAGGGTATAGAGCTATTTGCCCTCTCCACCGAGGAGCTATTGATATAAAAGGGCCCTAGGCCTTTTTTGGGGTATTTTTACTGCCTTTACTTTTAAGCTCATATCACAGTCATTATAAAGGCTACATACACATGCTATATCTTGTTTTGTTTTTTTCAGGACAATCTTGGCAATCCAGATTTGCCATCATCCCATGTCCTTCTATGTGCCTGTATTTTATATTAATTTTTATATCAATGAAAAAAAACAAATCCATGTGACTACATTCTTACATTTTTACATATATCTCACCATAGCAAGTTGGAAGTTGACATATTCTGCCATATATGAAAAGGGGAGACTCTTTGGAATCTGGCAATATAAGAACCATGATGCTGGGACATTCTGTCACTTCACAGTTGTCCAAAACATGTGGTTTGTGCCAGGTGGACATGATTGTCAGTATTTTTTCATTATTGCAAGAAATTCCATTGACTCATTTACAATTCAAAAATGTGTTTTATCTGAAAGAAACATGCAATATTTACATCTAAGATAATAGAAAAATAGTCAACCAAGTGCAGTGATGTCCTCCAAGATAATATTTGCCACTTTGCATTAAAAACAATTTTGGGCATTGAGGGGGGGGGATGTGTCCCCCTCAGTGTATATGGTGACTACTGCCCTGTCAGCATGCATAATTAGGCTACAGTTGTCTGGGTGCGCAAAGGTAAAGTGCGCTTGTCTTGTCATACAAAGTTTGACTGAGTGTCAACTGGACAATATGGAAATTTTTGAAAGCTGGACTACAAATGTGGATAGACAGGGAGAAACACACGCAAGCCTAAGACGTGGTAAGATACTATATTCCTCACTATATGAAGTGACTGATAACAAGATCTGTATAATGGATTATAAAGAAATTCGTCAGGTTTTTATTTTGTAGACAATTGATCTGTATTTATAGCGTGATGGAATGACAGCACAATGATGTGTGTGGTATGGAAAGCTCTGGTCCTGTGCTTTCAAGTCATATGCGTGGCATTTCTGTGCGACCCTGCATTCGCGAGTAATCCATCCAAGAGTAATGTGTGTGCAAAGCCGTATGAAAGCTCTGTTATACATGATGGTAGTGTCGCTGGAACTTGCTCCAGACAGCATTGTTTAATGCAGACTACAGGGCGGCTACTGATTCACCTGACCATTTTCTGACCTCTTGTGTCACTAGGGGCATGCGTCCTAGTTTGTTTACATATTTTGATCTCAACAAGGTGGCCGCATAGTCACTCTTACCTTACATGGGAAGCAATTCAGCTCTGTCGCCACTTCTGAATGGTGTGTAACATTGTTCTAGTGTCCATATTCCCCCCGTTGCCACAGTAAATATATTCATGTCAGGCATAAACTTCTTAAGGTTAGCCTGACTGAAGTGTCCATCAACAATGACTTTAAGTGTGACTTCAAGTTGACATCATTGAAACCTGTCTGTATATGCTACTGAGAAATGCTGCAACAGCAGAGGGGGCTCACAGCCTTGTAGAGAGAGGAGGAGAGAAAAGGTGGGAGAGGGAAAGGGAGAGGAGGGGTTGAAGTCGGTCCGGATGTCAAGGCCTGTTGATTGGCTGCCAGCCTAGTGCTACAAGTACTACGGCACTGTGGACGCCCTTTCAAAAGGTACTGTTTGAGTTCATCTGTGTCTTTGAAAACAACCCTTGCCAAAAAACACTGAGGAGCTCTACCCTCTCTCATCCCTCTCCTTAGAGGCAGGATGTTGGATTTTAATGCTGCTCTGCCTCCTTTATGTATCTATGTGTCTAGTTTACATGTGTATGTCTCCCCTTTTTTAACAGTTGCTGACTAAATTTGAGCTGCTACAGCCATTTAAAGTAAACTTTAATCACCTTCAACCAGTACCATCATCACAGTGTGGGCAGTAAGTGGAGATGAACAGTGTTTGGCATCCCCTCCGTGCCGCAAACCCCTGGAGTACTTGCTCATCTGCGAGCAGATTTTACACTGGCCACACTGCAATGACAGACCAATGTTTCCCTTTCTGTAGCTGTCAATTTTTGTGGAGACAGACCTTCAGTGGCTGGACTGCCCTTGACTCCTTGCTGGATCACCAAACTTGGGTGAAGTGAGAAGAACGGAGTGTGTATCCATAGTTGGGCTTGCTAGCTAGCACCAACCTCTTGCCCGCTTGATCAGCAAACTTTCCAGCTTTGTAGTCTCTGAGTGGCAGGAAGTGAAACAGAGGGACTGTGGGGTACACCACGTGTGCTAGCTAGCAAGCAGCAGTCTTTTTCAATGGCGCTGGCAGCCAATCAAGGGACCTTTACATCTGAAAGCCCACTTCCTTCATGTAGAAGGGTGAGAAAAATTATAGACACAATTCAAAATTCAATCTAAATCACACAAAATGGACTGTTCTCTAGTTTTGATTGATGTTAAAATAATTTTTTTTAAAAAACATACACTATGAAGGCATAAAATTGTTTGTGATAACAGTAAAAGGCATTGTAAACAGGAATCTTTGGAAATGAATGGTAGGTGAAAGAGCATGTAAAGGTTGGTTGAGTTGGAATAATGGCTGTGCAGGACAAAATATTTCATATTATTGATTGTCTGTTCAATGACATGAGGTACAGTAATATGCTGTTTATAATTGTTAAAAAGCTAGGTTCCTATTTGCAACCTTTCATCATGTTGTGGAGAAAGCCTCACTGATTTGGATGTCTAAAGAGACTTTTTATTTACCCAGATAATGTTGGCTGTGGTCACATGCTCACTTAGCTACACTAACACTGCTATACTCTCTATTGCACATTCACACCTTCCCTGGGAGTCTATTACTCTTGTACCATTGGCCACTATGGGTGGTGTGATGGTGCCATTGTCTGATTTAACTAAAATGTGAAGTTTGTGTGTTTTGTTGTTTTACACTTCACGTGGAGCCAGCAAATACTGCTCAGTCCTCATAATGTGTTGTAGTATCTTACAATTGCTAATAACCTTATACAGTGTTGTAACTTTACTTAAGCCAACAATGTCATGCTATAGCTTATTATTGATGGTAAATGGTAAATGGATCTGCATTTGTATAGTGCCTTTCTAGTCATCCAGCCACTCAAAGCACTTTTTACACCACAAGTCACATTCACCCATTCGCACACACATTCATACACTGGTTGCCGAAGCATAGATAGATAGATAGATAGATAGACAGATAGACAGATAGATAGATAGACAGATAGTCTATCTGTCTGCAGACAGACAGATAGACAGATAGATAGATAGAGGAAATAGGTGTCCACAGCCTGTACACATGTAAGAACAATCAAATCACAAAAAAAACATCACCACAAGGAACACAATACAGTGAGGGAGGGAGGGAGGGATGTAACACAATTTGAGGGTGTAGTTAGTTTATTTGCCTGCCCACACTGTTTTTTATTTTTTACAATATATTTCTTAATTTCATATTTCCCTATTCTCAGCGTATTCCAGCCATCATACAAGCCTTCAACAGCAACAATGTCAGCTTTGTGGTGCGAGGAGGTCTACAAGTGCTGGTGATGCTAACTGACCCAAATGCAGGTGCCGTATATTGAAATACTATTTGCATTACTTCCAATATAGTCTGCTTTCCAAAATGACAGTTGGTTTTTGTTTTTATTTTTAAGTGGTAATCGCATGTTATTGATTTATTTCCAAGGGCTAGGCCTAATTGCTAATGACTCATCAGCTACAGTAGCAGAAACTGGTGCATTCATGAACCATACACCTGCAGCATTCTGTATGGATGCAGGACATCAATACTCTTTAATTCTTGTGCCTTTTCCCTATTTCTGGTTTCCGAAGTAATCCAAATCTTATCCAGTTCAAATCTGTCTTTGCCTTACTGTGCTCTTTTATCCACCTAATCATCCTTGACTGAGTTTAAATGGCCTTGTCATGTATTGATATTGGCCCATTCAAGAAAAGCTTTCACTTCAGTTGGATATTTTCTTTCTGCCGCTTCTGCCCCTTCGCTCCTGCAGCCATTGGCTCAAGATTTATTCTTTTTCACTATACTTTCTGAATTTGTATCTCATAGCATCTTCTAAATCAAAAGGTTTTTTTTGTTTATATGTGTGTGTCATCACCTCAGGTTACCATGGAGCTGCTGGAGGTCTGGGTGTTTGGGCTCTAGCCGTCATTTTCCTGATCAGCATCATCACCACTGGCTCTTTCATCCTCTACAAGTTCAAAAGGTAAGCCAAGTCATGTTAAAGAGGTGTGGCAGTCAGCCCAGAAATATAAAGCTGGGATCCAATAGCACCTTCTCAGTTATTTTTAGACCAGTCTCTACAGCTGAGGCAACCTGGTCTCATTCCAAAGTCAACGAAACTTGGCACTTGGTCAGTGACCTCCGGTGGGGCCCAGCAGCGTCAGGGGGAAACATGGCAGGACAACAACAAAAGTTACAGTGGCTGCAGTCTGAGTAGGGCAGGCGGGAGTGGTGGTGGATGGGTCCAACAACCACAGACTTTCACCCAGGAGGCCAGTGCTTCCCATAATATTGTAAAGCCAAACCCAGTTCTTTTTTTCCTAAACACAACCATTGTGTGTGTTGGCAAAACATAACCACGCTCATTCATTGTTGAAGGAGAAAAATTTGTGGTGTTGTACAGATGTAGTGCATTTTTTTTGATAGAGACTTAGTCCATGACCAAATGTTGATATGTGACAAGGTCAGAGTGAAAATGTGTTGAAAACTTCTCTGTCTAACCAAAACTTGAAACAATAGTATTTTCCTCAGTCTCTGAGAATGAATTAAGTTATGTTGTTATTGGTGTCCATCCCTGATATGATGTTTTTTTCGGCGTATGATTCATTTGCAGCCCACCAAATTCTAATGACCACACCAATAGAGTGGTGCAGGAATGTGTCCTATCACCCAGAAATGACTTAGCATCTCGGCAATTACGGTTCCCTCCTCGCAACGTTAATGGATTTCTCAAATGTTTTTTTTGGTTAGATGGCTGAAATAAGGCCCAGCAGTGTCAGGGGGAAAACATGGCAGGACAACAACAAAAGTTACGGTGGCTGCAGTCCAACATTTGCGGCCCAACATTTGCAGAAAATCTGGCAGTATAAAAGGGGCTTATGTGAATGTGGTATGTGTTGAAAACGGTTTGGATTAGTGCAGAGGATGTTTAGTTGCATGCAGCATTAGCAAACCTAAACACTTAGTTTTGGCGAAGCCAACTAACCAATGACCTAACTGCAAACAATCACAACAATGACTCAGTAAACAGCATTAAATCATATTCAACAAATTAAAACTGTTGCTTAGCCTGTAAAGCTGTGATAAAGCTATGCCCAGTTGTTACATTATCGATCCTTGAATGGATGAAAGAAAGAGTCACTTTGTGGAGTGCTGCTTTTGTTAGTTGGCAGAAGGCTGGAAAGAGCTACGGTTCCAGAAACAGTCTTTGTTGTGTCCTTGTTCCAAAGATGGTGATCCGAGGAAGCCGGTCGCTCGTGGTCTTTGCAGAATTAGACGCTGGGGTGCTAACTGAACTTTGCTCTCCTTGTTGCTGGAAAGTTAGTTGCAAACCTTGTATTTGCATACTCTGGTTTTCAAGTTTTAACCGTGCTGTGGACATGCAGGTCATGGTCCAGGAAAAAGAGAGTCTGTGAGCAATTGTCCTCCCTTTAGTGGTTTGGGGTAATAGCCTCTGAGTTGGTCAGAGCCCAGGAGGAATCCCAACACCACTAGAAGAGATCCCAAAGCATTGAGGGGTGAGCCACTTATGGACAGCAAGAACCCTACTGTGTACATCAACAAACAGCTCAAAAGATGGAAACAAGAGATGGAAGAGGAAGTGAACAATAGTCCTGTACTACTGACTCTGTTCAGAAACTCTGTGGTAGAGGCCCTCCCTGCTCCAGTTCAAAGCAAACTAGAGGATGTGGTAGGATTGACATCCATGCCCCATAGACAATTCTGTGACCATGTGACACAGGTTGTTGAAAAATACAGAACTGAAAGCCAAAGAACAAGATATAGTCTTACAAAGGAAACTTGCACAACTACAGCTTGGTGAACTGCAAGGAAAAAACAAAGCAAAGACCCAGGCTAACATTGTGGATGAGGCCATAAATCAAGCAGCACAAATTGCTCCAGCCACACCTACACCAGTCACCAATGGGGTGCAGCCACCAGTGGCACAGATGTCTGCACCTCCTTCGCACCCAGCATTAGGGTTGGGTCAGTATGAGAAAAGAAAAAAACGGTCCGGTTTTTGTGGAAAAACTGCATCAAGTCGGTAATACCAGATTTTCGCCACTTGGGGGCGCAATTGACTCATTTAAAATAAAAAACAACCATAGGACAACAGAGTGACAATAACACTTTGTTTCTTTTATTCCTTACAAATAAATTTGCAGGTTTAGCTTACTCAGTCAGTGCAAACAAGGGTTGCCTCCTTCGTCTGGCTCAAAGCCAAAGTGTTGCCATATTGGCGCATTCTTTGATTTCTTCGAGACTAAATTGTCCGCCATTATCGTCTCCCCGTCACTGTTAAACAAACTCCAGGCTACAGTAGAGGCCTCAGCGCATGCGCACTCGCACCCCCTAGCTCAGTCCCTGCCCCACCCCCACCCCCCTCTCTCTCCTGCTCATTGTGCGCTTGGCGAAGAGGCAGACACAGGTGCTCACAGACTCGGGCGTACTATAAGCGGAGCGGACTCCGCGAGGAATGTCCGCAGTCATTCGGGCTTCCATAGTCGAGCGCACTTCCGCGTTGTAGTTTCCTGTAAAAATGTCCATGAAAAATCCCCGCGATGTGAAAAAGACATGCTGAGCAGTCTTTTGTGTGACACTGGTGCGCGGAGCGGAGTCTGGTATTACTGAGAACCGACCCAACCCTACCCAGCATCAGTAGTTAACATCTTTCCACAACAGCAGTATCCTCCATGCCACTGGGCGTTGAGGCGTAGAACAGCTGATTCTGATGACTGCTCCGGTGCGACTAGCGACAGAGGGGGGGGTGAACTAAAAATTCCAATTCTAGTATCAGATGAAACTCCAGTCAATCTGTTGGGGTGAGACGCACTATGTAAACTAAAAATTAAAATCTGGTGCTCTCCCCAAGGGGTATACGTTGACAGCTCTGGGTTAGACCTAATGCTCTCACAATCCTAATGTGCAAAGGTTCATTGGTTGGGGAACATCACTGAATCAGTTTAGAAGTTTATTTACTTTATTAATCCCCCTGAGGAGAAATTCAATGTTTTCACTCTTGCTTGTCAATTACACACAGGTCCGAAAGACACACACATGCACAAACAGGACCTATACATGCACAAAGTGGAGAGATGTCAGAGTGAGGGGGCTGCTCTTGGTGAGGCGCCCCGAGCGGTTGGGGGGTTTGGTGCCTTGCTCAAGGGCACCTCGGCAGTGCCCAGGAGGTGAACTGGCACCTCTCCAGCCACCAGTCCACGCTCCATATTTTTGGTCTGGACGGGAACTTGAACAGGCGACCCTCCAGTTCCCAACCCAAGTCCCTATGGACTGAGCTACTGCCCCCCCCCCCCCCCCCCCCCCCCGCCAAGGCGCCCCCCCCCCCCCCCCCCCCCCCCCCCAGTGGCAACAGTATTCAAAAAATGGGAAAAATTTATTCGATCACAACCTCCAAAAGCCACCGAATTGATCTCTGACTATCACTGCACAATGTACTATGACCCTTCAGGCAGTGAAGTCTTCGAATGAAAATGGGATGAAGCCACACAAGATGTAAAGGTTGACCTAAGCATGCAACACATTGTGATAGGCCAACAGGGAGCAGCTTTGAATTTGCAAACCAATCCGTTCATTTCTGAGTGGTATAATGTGTCTGAATCTGCACCACACATTACGTTGTTGGTGAATGAGAATTTTGAATCAAAAGCCTTGGGACAGATGATGCATATCGCATCCCAAGTTACCTGGGAGAACTGACAATCCACTGATCTTCGTATCACAAAATGGGGCTATGTTGAAGAGTTTTTGTGAAATAACCATGACGGCGAAACCTCAGGTGGTGGCAATTAACGAGTCATTTGCGAGGCAAAATTTTGAACAGAATGTGGAAAGTAAAAGCACATTGATGGAGGACATGGTGTCACACGGATGTGGGGCTGGTGAAGTCTGCTAATCCAGTGAAAACTAACTAAAACCTAATGTGAACCTACCAAATCACCCTCAGTATCCATTGAAACCAGAAGCTGAAGAAGGTATAAGTAAAACAATAGAGATGTTGTTGAAGGCAGGCATGTTGATTGAAACTAACAGTACGTGTAACATGCCAATTTGTTTGTTGTTGTTGTTGTTGTTGTTGTTGTTGTTGAAGTTGTAAGCTGTGTTTTCAATAAACTACCCGCTAATGGCTGTGAACTGACCTCATGTCATCAAGTCGTTTTTTCAATAAATCCCAGCTCCTTGAGCTTTGTGACCAGCCCGGAGGTGAGCTGAAGCTGAAATCAGTGAACAGCAATCTCACATAGCTCCCTCTCCTTTCCAGGTGAGACAGAGTGGTATGGAGGATGTGTGCTATGGTGTCTTCTGTAGATCGATTGGGATGGTAGGCAAACTGTAGTGGGTCCAGTGTGCTGGTTAGTGAGAAGCAGATGTAATCCTTAATCCTCTTCAAAGAACTTAATCACTAAAGAGGTGAGAGCCACTGGGCGGTCAACATTCAGGCTAGGGCTGGGCGGTTTATCGATTTTTTACAATATATCAATATATTTTCAAGCAAGATATAGGTTTAGACAATATCATTTATATCGATATAGGGTCAAGTTATACATAACACAAGTCACATAACACATACAAGTGTGCATCTCTCCTCTCTCACACTCTCCACACAGCTCCACCCCCTCACTCACTCACAGTTTCTCCATCAACACTCAGACAGTCACAGAGCTGCTCCTGTTTTATCTGTCTGTTCATTAGTCTACAGTGCGACATCGGTCTATATTTTGCACAAGCTACACTAAATCAGTCTGTGAGATGAATGAAATTACCGCAGTAGCTCACATACAATACTATGGGCCTTTTCCTCTGTAACTTTTAGCCGCGTCCAGTCAAACGCCGATTTGTTTCTTCTCCGGATTAGGTCCAAAAGCCAGGCCGCCCGCACTCAAGTGGGTAGTGGTGGTATCTCGCTGGTTGGCTGCAGTGAACCCCTGACTGGCCAGTTTCTCCCCCTCAGACAAGCCAAGTGTGTTGTGAGACTCTACTCACCTCTGTCTTGCAGCAGACCAGAGAGAAAGGCGTTTTTAAAAGTCTCTTGTGTGTTCAGTTCTCAGTACATTTGTAGCTTCTAACTGAATCTCTGTGGTTTTGAGTTTAGTTTCTCTCCTGCATCCTGTTTTTACTTTACGTATCTGCTTTATTTTACTGTTTCATGTTCGCTATCCACCTTATTAGAATAAGTTGCTGCTTGAAAACTCAACATTTCCTTATTTTGCTGCTTAACGATAAAGATTTTTACATAAAAAAAATAACAGCGACTTTTAGTTTTAAGACTCTGTAGGAATTAAAATATGTTTATTACTGAATTCATTAGCGTCTTTTCTCCAATTAAGGCAAGTCTAATAATATGGCAGGGAGGAAGAGTAAAAGCAGAAACAGCCACAGTGAGATGTTGATGAAGAGCTGCAGACAACAGGCTCTTACTGCACCTCCGCAAACAGTTCACTTCCAACAGGTAAACATTTTTTACCTGCCCTGCTGTGGAAAAACACATGCAGCAAAAATAACAGGGAAGCCGTGGATCAGCTTGCAACCAACTTCGTGGATCAGCTTGCAACCAACTTCGTAGAAAATACCAGGATATGAATTTTTGTCCATATTGCCCAGCTCTAATTCAAGCAGGTTGGTTTTGCTTTCTTGGGCACAGGGAGTTCTTGAAACAAGTGGTCCATATTTCCAGACTGCAGTCCTAATTTGTAAACTGCAGTGCGTTTGTTTATGGCATCCCAGACGGTTCGGGTGAACCATAGTTTTTTATTGTGGAATGATTTAACTGGAGTTTTTGGTAAAGTTGCATCTGTAATTTACAGATTAAATCCACCACAGATCAAGTGAGGTCATTGATGTCATCAGTAGTTTTGATGGTGGTGTCCTGGAACTTGCTCCAGAACTGCATCATGTAGTGCAGACTGCAGGACGGCTTTTTATTGGCCCGATCATTCCGGACCTCTCACATTAAAGGGGGCATGCATCAAGGTCTGTTTACACACTTTTATCTCAACAGGATGGCCGCGTGGTCGCTCTTGCTGAGCGGGGAAAGAGATTCTGCTCTGTAGCTGCCTCTGAAGGCTGTGATCCAGTGTCCTTATTCCCTAGTCCATATGTTGATGGAAGTCGGGCATAACTTTCTAAAGGCTTGCCTGATTGAAGTCTTCAGCAACAGTGAGCACAGCATCAGGATTTCTGGCCAGTGAGGAGTTTAGGTCTTTGCAGAGATCTGACAGGACAGCCTCTGTATTTGTTTGTTCTGGAATGTGGACCACTGTGATAATAAAAATGTATCATCTCACACTACAGCAGCAAAAAAGTATAGTTAGCATGCTATGTCTATTCTACATTTTATTGTTGAGGTGTGTAATAGGTGAGTATAGTTGGTCATAATGTATCAGTCAACCTGTAGTTTTTAGCTCTTCAAGAGCATCTGTAACACACTTGAACTTAAATATTATAAGTCATGTCATTAAAGGTCACATCTTTACTGTTTTATGAGTTGAGTTGATAAAGTGCATCAGAAAGCAATATGCGTGTTTATGAGTGTAGTCATAAGCATTATGAAAGCATTATAATTCTAACTAACTAACTAATTCTAACTAATATAAATGCCCTCATGAGGCATTATACATGTGGCCTCATTCCTGTAAGATTTATACTGTTAACTGATTTGGATTATGAAATAAATATGAACTCTATTATAATGTTGTTATGAATATGGGTAATGAGATATTATATAATTTTTTTTCTCAAATTATTGTTTCTTTAAAATATTTGTATTTACATTTTTATTTATACACTATTCACATGAAGGTTTATTTCATAATTATGTATTTAATATTGAACACTATGGCTATCAAACCTGCAAACAAATTAAAAGAAAAATTAGCTCCTTGACAAATCAAGATATTTAATCACATTGTTGCAAAAATCCTGTGAATCAAACATTTCCATATAGGTGGGTTGTTTGCAGCAAAGCCCACAGTGGCCTAATAAAATCAAATAATAAATGGATAGCTACATCTGTATGAACACTATAGCAAAAGCACAAATGGTTGACAAATTTCTATATTTTCTCACTATAGCAGCATATCACCTTACCTAGTAGACTGCATGAGACTTTACTGTCGCTGATTTATTATACAGTATATGGTACCTTGAGTAACTGCATGCTTTCTTTTCACATATCTAATGTAACAGCAGCACCTCTAAGTGTCCAGAGCACAAATGTCCACCAAATAGTCACTTGAATTAAAACATGCAGTGCAAAACTATGGCCCCATCTTACGAAAACAATAAATCTCACTGTCCTTGGCTTAGGACTGAAGATGCCTATCCACCACTGTTTTTTAGGAAGCTCCCGGGCAACCGCAACGTTTACGCCCAGATGCACAATGAGAAGGAGCAGGAGATGACCAGCCCTGTCAATCACAGCGAGGACACCCAGCACATCATTCAGGGGGAGGAGTTCATTGACGATGACCTGGACTCTCAGACTCTAGGTAACACAGGAGGTAGCCCTGCCTTCCGATCCCTTATAAGGACTACCACTAACCACTGCTACTAAAACCCAAGCTACTAACACCAGCAGCTAACATGCACCAAGGTACTGAAGGACCCTTTTCTATCCTTATCACTGGTATTTCTAAAGGCAAGAAACTCATATTCAAATCTTTATTTTTGCCTTCAGGATTGGTCGCAAGGCACTGTGTAGTCATCACCTACATTTGCAAGCACATTCAAATCATATCATGATAATATGCCATATCACATTATTGTGCAAATTGATGTAAACATGGACATGATGTCACTTTCTGGGGTTAAATTAAGTTAATATTTCCTTCATCGAGACAGCGGTTGGCAGCTTGGTTATAATTGGTACCAAATTAAAGATATTCTAGAAGGAGCACATAACTGTCAAATTTATCACAAATGATCAGACCTGCCAAAATTGATGCATTTTGACATCAAAGTATGCTGGTATATTTGCCTTTTTAAACTACTGAAAAAAGCTGGTGACACCTGCAAATTTAATTGCACATGTGCAATACTCAAGTCTCACAGCAAGACGCAACAGTGATGAGCCTGTTGTGATGCCTGCAACACCTTCCAAAAAAATTGGGACAGGGCCATGTTTACCACTGTGTGACATCACTTTTTCTTTTAACAACACTCAGTGAGCATTTGGGAGCTTAAGTTACTAATTGTTGAAGTTTTGAAAGTGAAATTCTGTCACATCCTCGCTTAATAGATGGCTTTAGTTGCAGTCCGGGGTCTTCATTGCTGTGTTTTGCACTTCATAATATGCCACACATGTTCAGTGGGAGACAGGTCTGGATGTGGAAAGGAGTGCAGGCAGGCCAGTATAGTACCTGTACTCTCACTACAAAATCACACCCTTGTAATATGTGCATAATTTGTCTCATTTTCTCACTGGAATAAGCAGGGGTTTCCCAGAAAAAGAAGTAATCTGGATATGGCACATGTTGCTCCAAAACCTGTATGTACCTTCCAGCATTCAACTTACACATCTGTGATAACAGACGTGTAAGTCACCCATGCAGTGGGCACTAACACACCCCTATACCATCACAGATGCTGGTTTTTGAACTTTTCACTTTTCCACTTTGTGTCAGTTCATCTTGGGCACAGAGAAGTCTGCAGTGTTTCAGAATATTGTTGATATATTGCATTCACTTTACATGATAAGGTATAAACTTGCATTTGAATGAAGCAATGAACTGCAGTGCAGGGCAGCCTGAGGGGGTCACAGGCATTCAGTATTGGTTTTCAGCCATGCCCCTTATGTTCAGAGATTTTTCCAGATTCTCTGTATCTTTTGATGTTTTTATGGATTGTAGATAATGAATGCCTAAATTCTTTGCAATTGTATGTTAATAAACGTTCTTAAACTGTTGGCCTGTTGGCCCACACAGTTTTTCACAAAATGATCACCCTTGCTTGTGACAAGTGAATCTTTTGAGGAGGCCACTTTTCCCCCAAACATGATACTTTAATCAGTTACCAATTAACCTATCTACCTTTGTAATATTACAAACAGGTGTTTTTTAAACATTCCACAACTTTCCCAGTCTTTTGTTGCCCCTTTCTCAACATGTTTGGCATGACATTTAATTCAGAATGAGTGTATATATACATAAAGAAAATACAATTTATGAGTTAAAACATTGTACTGTATTCAATCAAATACAGGTCACAACAGATTTGCAAATCATTGCATTCTGTTTTTATTTACATTTTATACAGCATCCCAACTCTTTTGGAATCGGGGTTGTATATGATATGGTATGATAGCTATGACATACCAGTGTAGTGGAAGGTTAACAGTGGTCACCACCTCTTCATCATGGTGATATTAACAATCATGATTAGCCGACCATTAAGAAATAAGAAAATGTATTAAGCAATATTTCTGAAAAATAAATGCATTCCTAGCATACCCATACATTGTTGTAAGTATTGTAATACTGCTGGGAGTGACACAAATTTTTTAAGTAAAATTTTTAAGTAGAATTTTAAAGTTATGGGTGGTTGCTCTCCATGATGTCAGTAACTAAAAATGAAAAGTTTCAGCCCTCTGGGCTTGAACCCCTGGTGATGGATTGATCACTCTGGTACAAATGCCAAGTATGTGTTGGTTCCAGCTTATCGTATGCAAGTATTCATCCTTTTTTATATCAACATAATATCTTCAGGCTTTGGACTATTGGTTGGACAAGCAAGACATTTGAAGATGACACTTTGATCCTTGAGTTCATAAAATGTTAGAAAATCGACTCAAGTACATCACAATTTCCCAGTGCTCAATCAAACAATTCACAAAATATGGAGTGGATTAATCCATTAGCACTAGCATGTGTACTTCAAGAATGCCTGCAAGAATAAATGACATAATACATATACCTGCTGAGGGTGTTAAACTATTCCATTTATTCACAGTTGATGACAGCAATTCCCCAGAAAAACAGCAACGTGCCAGCAAATGCAGGGAAGAAGACTGATAGCTAGAAAATATGGATGTAAACCAGTGGTGAAAGAAGTATTAAGTAAAACTACCAATGTGTAGAAATACTCTGTTACAGGTAACACTCCTGCATTCAAAACCATAGGCTGCTGAAGTACTCACTTTGCAGAAAAGTGACCATCTAATTGATTCATTTCCCTCCACAGTGTGTCATCATCAGCTCCTTTGTGTGTCTATGTCATGTTTCTTCCTCCCTTTTGTTGCCAGGTAACCATTCAGGTGTGGTCCTGAGCATCAACTCCAGAGAACTACACAGTTACCTGACCAGCTGATGGCTGCCATGACAACGCTAACAAGCTAGCCTAGTCTAGCTGGCTAACGAGCACAGGGACTCCACTCGGCCTTCCTCCTCTTACCTCTCCTTTTCCTTCTCCTCTTCCTTGGACACTTCACCTCCACATAGTCTCACCTCAACCCTTCACCTGCAGCCTGTGCAACGTTTTGTTTTTGGTGGTGGGTTGGGGAGGGGGGTGGGGCGCAATGAGGTTTTGATGGCATCACACTAAGAACACTCGCTCATCTTTGTTTTGAATGAAAAAAAAGGAAAAAAACATATGTGTATGTTGTCTCTCACTCGTAGATACTCAAAACCAGCAAGCATGACTCACTGCACTGGTTTCCAGACAGAGTTAAATCTTCTACTACCAAGAGGCAGTAGTTACTGAAGGTAGTGAGTGGCCAAGGGCAAGTGTGTTAAGATGATTTCCAAGTATTAAAAGGATCGTGCACCCAAAAATGAAAATTCAGCCATTATCTACTCACCCATATGCCGAGGGAGGCTCAGGTGAAGTTTTAGAGTCCTCACATCCCTTGCGGAGATGGGGCTAGCAACACAACTCCACCTAATGGCGGCTGGGTGCCCCAGATTAAAACGTCCAAAAAACACATAATTGAAACAACAGAATATCTCCATACTGCTTGTGCGTAGTGATCCAAGTGTCCTGAAATCCCGACATAAAAAGTTGTTTGGAAAAACGTCATTTAAACTCTATTTTTAGTCTCATTGTGGCCTGTAGTAGAGGCTGACATTTTTCGGGAGTCCCACGG